GACGAACCCACGAGCTCGTGGGTGGGTCGTCGCGATGAACCCCTCCTGGGTTTGCCGCGATGAACCCACGAGCTCGTGGGGTTGTCGCGACGAACCTTTTTCTTACAAAGTATTGCTCATTTGTAATTACAAAGTATTGCTCATTTGTAACCCAGAATCTTCACCATGTTCTGGTGGCGAAGCTTCCCAAGCATTTCCATTTTGACCCATAATTCATGGAGGCCATGGAAGGCATCTCGATTGAGTTTCTTGATGGCAATGGTGACGCTGTTAGAGAGAGTGGTCTTGTCGATGAGTTCGAAGCTACTGTCACCAATTATGAGATCCGACGAGAAGTTCTTAGTAGTGGTAGCCAGCTCGGGCATGGAGATCTAATGGAGAGACTGGTCGAAGCTAGCGTTGTTGTAGATTGAGACGAAGGTAAGATCGAGAGGGTTCATGGCTGGGTGGGTACGGACGATCCCATGTGAGACTGTTCGGAAAGAGATCCCATGTGAGACTGTTCGGAATTGGACCAACCAAAGGCGGCGATTGAAAGGCGCAGGTAGCGGCTGTGGCGGGTTCCGGGGACTGTTTCATGAAGGTGAACCAGAAGCCATGTGGAATAAAGCTTCCATGTATATGCCAGTAACAAGCACAAAATACTCCATCCCCTGCACCAAACAAAAATGTTTTAAAAATTGAATTCACTAAGATAATTTGATTCTATGGAAAAGAAAATCTGAAACAATTATGTAAAAATTCGTACCATCCAAGAGTTGCAAATGCCACGGGGAGCAAGAGGGCTTGGAATCCAATTCCTGAACATAAAATATGAAATATTGCTATACACAGTGCCTTTTCTGGATTCTGTAATAGGAAGCGAAGCTTCAAGTTCCCTGAGCCCCACAGCCTTGTTTGGACCCTGTGTGCTGCCATTCACGGTGACCTCACCAGGCGAGCCGGAGCTGGAATCAATGGAAATTAAAACCAGAGGGTTCGGACTTCTGGCTTGATGTAGGTTGTACACAGGAAGTTCATTCAGGATTGAATCTTCTGCAACAGCAACCACAGCGGTGCCTCTAATGCTGTCTGGTTCTGGGTTTCCCTCTACATTGTTATCAGTTTTTTGTTTGAGTTTATAAGCGCAAAGGCAATGAGTGATGCATGCTAACTCACAAATTTATGGCCAGAGATTTCATAGACGTCGCAAACCCAAGACTTGGGTTCGTCACGAACCCGTGAGCTGGGTTCCTCGCGAACCCAGGCTCTTGGGTTCGCCTGGAGATAAAAGAAAAAAAAGAAAAAAAAAAAAAAGCTGGAGGAAGGAGAAGCCGAAGGAAGAAGATGAGGGTATATTAG